TGTGTGTGTGTGTTGTTATTGTATTATAATTCTATGTATTCTTGTATGTGGCAGCCCTTGTGTCCAAGACAAACTTCCTTAGGGACAAATAAAGTAATCCTAATCCTAATCGGAATATCATTAATTGTAGAAAGGCTGCATTCTTTAATTGAAAGTAGCTCACATTAAGACAAATTTTAAAAAGACAAAGCTTTAGATACTTTTTCCTCAGTGCTGTTTGCGAGAGGAACCCAAGGGGCATCTTTTAAGAAAAGAGCAGTGTGATCTGCTATTAGCTGATCTTTATTACACTTTCCGCAATGAGAATCCCTTTCAAGGCACTTTTATTAATATAATGTGAGAAAATCTGGGCAACAAGAATTAAAAGATAGGGTGAGACAGGGCATCCTTGCCTGAGACCCATCTGAAGGTTGGATCTGGCTGACATACCAAAACTAAACTAAACTAAACTACATTTCAGTGAGCGGTTACTGTTAGCATAAAGTGTCCTGATGGCATTATTTTAAAAAAATCACCAAAACCACATTTTTGTTGACAACGAAAAATGAAAGCGTGCTCCACTGTATCTAATGTCTTGTAGAAGCCTAAAAAAGATAAAAAAATTCCTCTGAAATCAAATCAGAATAGTCAAGGATGTGTTCTAGTTAGGTATTTGATGCTATAAAAACAGGAGTGTGACGTCATGATTGACAGCTTCAGAGCGAAGTAGTCCCCGAGTCACCAGCGCACTTCTTTCGGGATTTTCGGGAAAAGACTGGAGCTTCAGCTTTCATTTCTGCATTTCCATAACTGAAGATGAGGAATCATGTGGTCGTGACACACTCAAAATATTCTTCTTTAATAAACAAGACAATGTTTGAAATCATGGGACTTGTGATTTATTTCCAACTGATTCTGAGCATTTTTCCTCCATTTCACAAGTCAAACAATGCCATCCATCTCCATTCCATGGATTTCTGCATGCTTTTAAGTGTAACATATAAATCAAAGTTATTTATATGCAATTTTCAATTACAGCAAATGTTTTTGTCAGACTGAAAGAAACGAATATTCTGTAACTGGAAAGATTAAT